CCTAGCGGCTAGCCCTGGTCACATCTCTGGTGTGGCTATCTTCCAGCTTGGATCTCCGACAAATACTACCAGACGACTGGGCTTTCACACAACCCTAGTCATCCGTCTACTGGTAAATTGCCTTCCGTACCAACTGTATATTATCCTGTTCCCAAGATGTCCCAATCCAGGCCACGAGTACATAACCCCCTCCTTTTCCGCCTTTCAAGAACTTCTTCTTCTACTTGCTCAACAGACTCTTCTCTTAACTCGTGTCCACACATTGACTATTACAACTCTCGAAGACAGGCTGATTATACTTCGTGCTTCGACCCTCTTCCCATCACAGCATCAACACATTCTTCCTCAACATTGCCAGCATTGATCGCAAGCTTGAATACTAGCCAGTAATAATGGCAGTCGCAGCTCAGCCGCAAGTCAATCCCAGCTGGAGTCGTTGGCCTCAACACACGCCCTCAAGCTTTTCCATCATGAGCCCTCCAGCATTCACGTCCTATGATCCCAGATCTCAAGTCAGCAACCAGATGCAACGCCAAGTATCTGCCCCGTATCTAATGGGCTCGACCTACAACCACTCACCAATCTCTGCCGCCTCAACTCCCCAATATCAGAGCCACAGCGCGTTTTCTTACGTGCCATACCATAGCCCACCACCATCAACCCCTCTCGACTCACCATTCAAGACCGAATTTCGAGAGCATCCTTACATGGTTGCTGAGGCCTCTGTTGTTGACCAACGCAATCTCCAATCGATGAAGGAATACCAGCCCTATTCTCCCATATCGAGGAGAGAATCAATTTCTTCTATTACCCATAGCCCCATCACTCCGGGTCCCACTACTCCAGGCTCTTGCACTTCAATTTCCATTTCTCTTAGTTCACCTACTCCGAGTTCACTCATTGCAGCTCGACTTGACAACTCCAAGACACTTGCTTATAACGAAACTCTTGATCCAGCGGACAAGATCGAATTTAGAACGAAGGTTGACGAGCTTATGAAGGCTATACAAGGGTCTCGAGCAAAGGAAGATCATCAGCAGCTTCTCACACCTGCCCCTACGCCGCAGCATGTTACGATACCCCCTTCGACGCTTCGTACTCAAAGAGGGAAGCCTAGAAAGCAGTGGTTCTGCGATGGCCCCAACTGTGGCAGAGCCTTTACCCAAAAGACGCATCGCGATATTCACCAACGAACACACACTGGTTACAGACCATATGTGAGTGTTTGACCTGATTCTTCACTTGCAACACGCCACTAATCGTTGACAGGTCTGCCCTAAAGCTAACTGCGGCCTTACCTTTTCTCAGCGCGGAAATCTCAGGGTATGTATTAAGCAAAACTCCTCTTGAGGACACTGAATTGCTAACCGACTGGATTTCTAGACCCATATGCGCCGTCATACGGGCGAAAAACCATACCGTTGCAGTCAGTGCACCAAATGCTTTGCCCAGCGAGGAAATCTTCGATCGCATGAAGAGACTCACAAAGGCTTGAAGCCATTCGTTTGCCGGCTTGATAACTGCAACAAGGCATTTTCTCAGCTAGGCAATATGAAGGTGAGGAGTTTAATCTCTGCACATCGAATAATATCTGAAATCTAACCGAGGACCTTCTTATTAGACCCATCAGAACAATTTTCACAAGGTCACTCTTCAAAGACTTATCGCTCTCTTTGTACAATTCTCAGAGAAAGGTGAAGTGCCTGAGGATTATCGAGAGCTTTTTAATTACTTCCAGAAGCACTACAAAAACAGCAACAAGGGCGTTAAAGGCCGGGGAAAGACTCGCGCTGTGACGGCCCGCGGGCCCCTGCGTTCTGTCGCCTCTCAGGTATCTCAGCTGGCTCTACCGGCCCAAGATCCTATGATGTCGTCTTCGCCATATGCCATCCCCCCGGGCTCCACCAACATCTTGAGCAGCGTGCTTCGCAACCCCAACCCCTCGTACAGCCTGTATGGGCCAGGGTCACCACCACAAGTGGTGTCGTCAAGCCACTTGCCATATTAAAGAGTTGTCAACATTCTATGAAGACGCAATTACTCTGGACATATACACATGATTTTTACAATCAGACGCTCAAATCTCATACACTGAGAAGAAAAGAGGACAGAGAGAGAGAGTACTAGTGGTACTTTCTCTTGGTAAATGTACAAATTATTGGCATTGGGCGAGCGGTGGCCGAATTTGATTTAGAGCGATGGAAACTTCGGCACAAAGGCTGCAGGCAGCATAATGATTCTTTGGATTACTTGGAACAAAGCTAGCTCTTGTTTTTGAGCTTTTATGAGTTATCTGCCACGACCAAGATGAGATTGGCTCAATGTACTATTTGAGAGACTGGGCAAGGCACACTGAACTGGCGGATTTATTGAGATACCCTTTGCATGTAAATTGGTAACATTGCGGCTGGGAGGAATACTGCTCTGGGATTACTATTCTTTCTTTTGTCAACGGAGGGTTCGGCGTATTTTTCTGTTTCGTTTACTGCTAGGCACTCGCCTCTTTTATGCCATTTACATATATGGTCATCAAACCATGAATAAAGTAGATGAAAAGCGTTTAATATCCAAAATTTTTTTTTTAATGCTCTGCTCCCTCTCCATTGGTGTAGTAGAATCTCAGTGCCAGTCCGGGCGATCATTCCATACTACGACGAAAGTAGCATCAACATGGAGAAGAACAGGTAGAAGCAAGGATAGAGGATGAGTAAATCGAACCAATACGCTTGCACTTTTGGACTAGGGATGCTTGTCACGGGAGCTGCTCCCGGACTCCCTAGTATGGAGTAGAATGCTGAGACGACATGCTCAAATGTCACATGTATCTTGTGCCTATTGCGGTGCTTGGCCCCCGTAAGAACAAAGCATGCAGCAATACGAGTAGGACTGCTACTGTGGGAATTGGGGGCCGGGGGATTGTCTTCATCGCGATATCTCCCTGCTTTGCGTGTATCAGTGTGGCGTTTGTAGATACTTACAAGTACAGGTAGTTCTAATACCCCTCTAGTTCAGTAAGTGGATGATTTGGTGACCCCCAAAGCTGAAGTTGAATGTAAATCGTACGATTTCCAGCAACCCGGATCTAGCTCCCCAGTAAGATTCTTAATAGAAGGTCTCCATCTCAGCCCCCCAGGCTAAAGAACAAATGATTGCAGGGGTGGGTAAAGGAACAGAGAACAGAGGGAGAGAAAAATGATAATAGACGAAGCTATGTAAGGTCCGTTCATTAATAAAGTGGGATTAAGAGACACATCACTTTTTTTTGTGCTGCCCTTGCTTGGTAGGTAGTATATTGCGGGCGCAGAGCCCTGAGCGGCTGAAGTTGGGGGGGCTTCAGGAGAACGACGACTGGAAATTAATTGCCGTTTCGCCGGATCTGGGTTGGAGGATGTGGTTGTAGACCTTGGGGCTGAAGAATCCGGGGCAGTTGGTGCTTGTGCGCTGCATTGTAGCAGAAATGAGTAAGGGATAAACAAAAGGAAAAAAAAAGACAACGAGAAGACAAGAAGAAGAGGAAAAAGAAAGGTCGAACGTCAACAAGGGAGGCGGGTTCATGCGCTGTCGCCGATCGGCCTCATAATCATGTTCATGCGCCGGGGATGTCATCAAGCGCACTGCAGTCCTCTCTTGTAATAGGCATTTCATACAAACAACTAGGACAAGCGAGCTGAAAATGAACCATCCGGCTGTCGGTGCAAATCCCCCGAAGGATTTCAAATATGAGCTGTTTGAAAAATGGCGAGGAAATGGCACCGGTGTGAAGAGTGCAAGAAAAAAGAGACAAGGAACATGGTTGTAAACCGGTCACGCCTATCCTGTTTGGTGGGGTTTCTTTGTTTGCTTTGCGGCCCCCAAACTTATTCGTACCTATGGAGCAGGCTGAAGACCAGCCAACCAGAGCCCAAATGAAGGAAATGAAGGAATGATTAAAAAACAAGAGAGGAGGGGGTGTTTACATGGGGGAAAAGACCATTCAGAGACGTTGCATATCCGAGTTTGTGCGCGTTTTGCCATGTACATGTAATGTTGCTGCACGGATTCGATACGCTGTTTTGGACAAACTTGGTAGCAGTAGCAGGCATAGCTGCAGCCGCGTATCAGCTAATTCTATGCAAGGGAGACTTCACTCACGCCCTTTTGATTATTCTTCGCATTCACCGCTTAATGGAAACCGCTCATTGACTTGCCACAGTTGCGTCACAGTCCAGCGGAGACTTCCGGTGTAGATTTCTGGCTTAGGCTCATGTCATGTTGGCAAAAATCACAGATCAACTCAGCTACATCGGGTAAAACACAACCACCAGGGGAACAGAAACAGCAAGGCAAGTCACAGTGGTGCTCGAGATCGTCGATCACAAACACAGTGAGACAAGAGAGCCCATGCTAGATTGTCAAAAGCCTTGACGAGTATAAGAAAGGGGGGTGAGCAACACCATGTCCACGCGTATGCCTACGCACACGGGCTTGTTGAAGCTAGAATATGCGCTCGTTTATGAATATGGGCATACTTCCGAAATTCTCGGGGAGACAACAACGCTAAAAGGTGCCATAGCTTGAATTTGAAAATATCTTACATGGGGTTTTGGGCATCAAGAGAGTTTCGGCCGTAGGTCAGAGACGAACGAAACTCGGCCCGTTCCCATCCTGAGTAAAAACCTCCCTCTACTCTGATCTGCACTTCTCGGTTTATGCGGGTAGTCGAATAGTCGGGTCCGTAATATAAGACGGCTCAGATCTAAATGCCGTTTTATGCAGACCTTTTGATGCTACACTGGCGGATGTCGGACGGTGCAGGATTCGTGTTAATTGTACGGACCGTAGCGAGCTGGTGGTTGGGACGACGAGGAGCACCCTGCTCAGCTGAGCCACTATCGATCCAGGCTCGACGTGGGGAAATAGTTTGCTGCTGATAGGCAATAAGATGTCCTAACAATAGATTTGGGCGTGTCGTTCGTATACATGTGCCCAGTATCAGCAGGCCAATGCCCAGGTCCAAAAGCTTAGCCACCGTGCAGGGTTGATACGAAGAGGATATTGTCGCCACTATTCAGCTGATACTCTTCTTCCCCCTCCAGCTCCCAGTCCGCATCGTTGATGAGAACCAAGATGCCTGGCCGTCTGTAGAGTAGAAATAAGCACCAGTTAGCAAACGAGTTTCCATGAGATGGTGGAGCAATATCAGAACGTCGCAGCAGGCTATTCATGTGGAGGCAACGTGATAGGCTGAGGTTGACACACTCGCTGCCAAGCTTTGAATCATTTCTCATACTCCCCCCAGCCACAGAGCTGAGCACCTAGTACGTAAGATGACCAGGACAGGGTGTTGCAACGCAGACCAGTGATTGGCACATGTGCCCATGGGGAAGAGGAGGTGAGACGTACAGATGGCCGTCCAGGACGAAAAGCTCCCTGCGGGTGTCCTTCATCACATGCTCACAAAGATGATGTATCAAATACGCAATAGTGGAAGGGTTGCCGTCCTTGTCCGTAGCAGGCAGAGTGAGGGCGTGGCGGCGAATATCCGAGAAGAGCATCTCGAGGCCACCTCTGCAGAGCATGAGTTAGCTTGATCCTCTTGGATGTACACGTATCAAAGGCCGGATAGAGAGTTAAGCATAGGATGAGCTACATTCCAGACTGAAAGCAAAAGTGCCCGGGCTTTGGCGTCTTCGTGGTGACATTGATGTGAGGGAGAAGGAGGAGAGGAGGAGGAGGAGGCATGATTGGAGCGAATGCTTAGGCGCAGAAAGGGAGCTGAGGCTTACGAGAACTCCACGATGAGGGAGAGTTGCGCCGTTGCTTCGGCAGTGTTTGAGGCCATTATGAAGTTTTGCGCCACTAAATGTAGTTGCTTTAATGAGATTGTGGCCGATGCTGCGATTACAGCAGATCCAGTGGCAGTTGATGGATGAGTCTGATATTGATACGAGCAATTGTATACAACGGAGACCTTTTTCCGGCCTAGTCGGGTCCAAACTAGCCCTAAATTGCAGCGATCGAGTGCTATGATGGAACGACGGAATCAACTCAGATCTCTCGATGCCATAACAACGCATTATTTTTCTGGTTTCTTTGCTTTAAATTACTTATTCCACTAGTATATTAGCTAAATAGAATTACTCCATAGGCTCGGATTTATGGTGATAGAACTGCATGGCCTTTCAAAGCCTCTGGGCCTTCGTAGCAGCTGTGAGACTCGTACCCCGCCAAAAACCGCCAGTAACCACCAAAAAAAAGTCTTTCCGCAAACTTTCTGCATGTCACATCCTTGTCACGTGGATCCCTCATCCGTCTTGATGAACTCTCAGCCAGTTCACGCTTCACTCGGCATATTGATGACATGAGCTCAAACGGCTTGACGGTCGAGCATTTGGCTGCCGGCGCAAACAGACAGACTGCCGTTGCGGACTGGAGCCGGACGGGGCTGTTGGCTTATGGAGCAGATTGCAACATTGCTCTCTGGCGGCCAGCTGTGAGTGTTTATATGCGCCATCTTCATCGTTGGACATGCAAATTCTGACTTGATGCTAGGCCGATCCTCCAAGAGGTGTATTCAAACTCTTAAACGGGCATAAAGAAACAGTCAAGGCCCTGACATTCCTGCCCGAGCTTGAGAACGACTCCTCAAGTTACTTCATCAGTGGCTCAGATGACAAGACCCTGGCTGTCTGGAAATCTTCCCATTATAGACAAGATTTTCAGTTGCTTCAGACGGTATCTGAGCACACCGGGCCAGTAAACTGCGTTACCGCTTTGCGAGTCGCTGCTGAGCAGCCAAAGTGGATAGTCGCAACGGGAGCAGCAGATGCAACCATCAGAATTTGGAGTTTCGAGAGTGATCAGCTGCAGCTGATTCAAACTATCAACACGACACCGAAATACTTCCCTCTGTGTCTTTCACTCAGTACTCTTGGCACCGACAATGACGCTTACATCCTTGCTTCGGCTGGCACAAAGGATGTCATCCAGATCCTGACAGCCGAGGCGAAGGCGGATCGGATCCAGTTCAACCTTCAGGCAACGCTCAGCGGCCACGAAGGCTGGCTTAGATCCCTGAGCTTCGCGAGGGAGACGAACAGCCCGGATAGCGATCTACTTCTCGCATCGGCCTCCCAGGATAAATACATCAGAATCTGGAGAGTGCACCAGGGCAAGGAGCTCCCCGCCTTGGCTGTTGAAGGCTCGGACCCTTCAAGCGGCGCTTTCATGCCCGGAAAATCTCCATCGAATAAAGCGCATTGGCTCAGAATCTCCGAAAAGGACTTTTCTGTAACATTTGAGGCTTTGCTGCTGGGCCACGAGGATTGGATTTACAGCGCAAAGTGGCATTCTCAAGCTGATGGCAAGCTGCAGCTCCTGTCTGCTTCTGCAGATAACTCACTGGCTATCTGGGAGGCTGATCCTGGCTCCGGCATCTGGGTCAGCATGGTGCGACTTGGAGAGATTAGCAGAGAGAAAGGTGCCACGACGGCAACAGGAAGCACTGGCGGCTTCTGGACCGGCCTGTGGTCCCCCGATGGAAAATCAGTGGCTTGTCTGGGCAGGACGGGCAGCTGGAGAAGGTGGGAATATGACGCCTCAGAAGACATGTGGAGGCCTCGCATCGCCATCTCTGGCCACACAAAGGCTGTTACCGGCATCTCTTGGTCCAAAGATGGCGGCTTTCTCCTCTCCACAAGCTCAGATCAGACAACCCGGCTTCATATGAAGTGGAAAAGCCACGGCACATGGCATGAAATGTCTCGTCCGCAAATTCACGGCTACGATCTAAACTGCATCGACTCGCTGGGTTCCTCGCAGTTCGTTTCCGGCGCTGATGAGAAGCTTATGAGAGTCTTCAGCGAACCCAAGGCCGTGGCTACCATGCTGAATCGGCTGGGAGGCATCGACGGAGGGAACATTGCGGATATGCCTGATGCTGCCAACATGCCCGTGCTGGGTCTCTCCAACAAGGCCATTGACACCTTGGATGACGACCAGGAGATTCAGCCCATAGACGACCGGGATCGAGACGCCATTGATCCCGCATCCATTGTCAAGAAGTCATACCTGGATATCGACTACCCGCCATTCGAAGAAACGCTGTCTCGGCACACCCTGTGGCCGGAGATGGAGAAGCTCTACGGCCACGGCTACGAAATCTCCTGTCTTGCCGCCAGCCATGATGGCAAGCTCATTGCCAGTGCCTGCAAAGCCAGTTCCATCAACCACGCCGTCATTCGTATCTTCGAGACGGACAAGTGGACCGAACTCCGACCTCCGCTAGCAGCCCATACTCTGACAGCTACCCGACTACGGTTCTCCTCCGACGACAAGTATCTCCTGAGTGTTGGCCGCGATCGTCAATGGGCCATTTTCGAGAGAGGCGTTGGAGAAGATTCAACCATTCAATACCAGCTACTACAATCCAATACCAAGGGCCACTCCCGTATGATTCTCGACGCCGCGTGGGCTCCCTCTTCTTCAGTGCCTCTGTTCGCCACAGCAGGTCGAGATAAGCAGGTCAGAGTCTGGTCGTTGTCGAAGCAAAGTGGTGAGGATGGTGCAAAGCCCCAATTCATACAGGTGTCATCATTGGCTTCCGATGGGCCAGTCACATCGGTTGATTTCTTGACACAGCCCGTGGGAAATAAGTACGTTCTCGCCGTTGGCACGGAGAGTGGGCGTGTTAGCCTGTGTACAGTGACTGAAGATGGCTCATCCGTCTCGGAGCTACCGACGTCTCCTGAGTAAGTTCTATATCTCTCATTTCAAACCTTGACATGCTTGATAAAAGATCGTGCCGGCTAAATTTTCGACAGGTTGATTCTCCCCAAGTCGGTTCTTCAGCTAGCTTGGCGGCCAGTAAGCAAGGACGAAAACGCAGCCAAGTATGAGCTTGCTGTTGCCGGAGAGGATAGTTCGTTGAGGGTCTACGGTTTTGGAGAGGAATATTTCATAGAGCAAAAGCAGTCATAAGCTCTTTAAAATCATGTATGTACAGGGGAAAATATATTGGACATCTACGTCTTTCTCTTCCAAACTTTCCATTGGTGCGCGAAACGAGGAAAAAAAGGATGAGGAAAATTTTGGTATTATAACCATATTAAGCTCATAGTAGAAGCGTATTAATTTGTACCATCATTAAAGCCATACAAGGCCGGCCATTCCATTACACTTCGTCGAATCCAATATATCCAACGCCAAATAGTCCATCCCAGATAAGAACGACTGTCGACAGTAGCCGCTCTGCCCCCTTGCTCGTCGCTCTCGATATGAAACCAAGCTTTATAATTTCGCCAGGCAGTAGATTGCACATTTTCTCTCCCTCTCTCACCTCAGCCCCTCATATTCGTATCCGTTAATTCCATAAACGCCTGCTCCGATTCGCACATCTCTCGATATTCTTTGTTTCTCAAATGTCGGTTTCTTCATAGCTCTCTCACAACTGCCGCAGCGCCCTTGCCGGCTCCCAGCGCTCCATCAAAGACATTTCTCGCAAACGCTGCAATGTCAATCGTCTCGCCGTTGATGTAGTACCACGCGCGGCTGGCAAGAAGAGAGACATGTTGCGGGAGGTACAGCGTTGCGGCGATGGAGGTCAGGCTGATGAGCAGGAAGAGGACCGAATCTGGAAACCGAGTTTCTTCATTAGCGACATTTTTTTTTTCCTCTGATGCAGTATGGAAGTTTTGGACATCTGTCGGCGGGGTTGCCAGAGACGAATCATTCGTTCTACATCGTCTGACCCAAAAGGGGGATGAACCACGAGCGCAGAATCGAAGAATCAATCGGGCCAGCATGAAATGGGGGGGGGGGGGGGGTGGGGGTTAGAAAAAGGGAACCCCGGATAAG